GTGAGGGGCTTGGAACACAAGCCCTATGAGGAACGACTGAGGGACCTGGGGTTGTTTAGCCGGGAGAAAAGAAGACTCAGAGGTGACCTTATGGCTCTCTACAACTTCCTGAAAGGTGGTTGTAGTCAGGTGGGGGTCGGTCTCTTTCTCCAGGCAACAAATGTCATGAACGAGAGGACACAGTCTCAAGCTGCGACAGGGGAAATATCGGTTGGATATTTGGAAGAAGCTTTTCACAGAAAGAGTGATACAATATTGGAATGGCCTGCCTGGGGAGGTGGTGGAGTCACCATCCCCGGATGTGTTCAATAAAAGACTGGATATGGCACTTGGTGCCGTGGTTTAGTTAAGGCGTTTGGGGCATGGGTTGGACTTGATGATCTTGAAGGTCTCTTCCAACCTAGTGATTCTGTGATTCTGTAAGCATGGTGTAGACAGTGCAAGCCGAATAGAGAAAACTTAGCAGAACTAACAAGAAGATCATGCTGTCCTTAACATCTAGAGGGAACTCAACATTCTCAAAAACTGTTGCAGCAGGCCTGAAGGGCTGGAAAAAAACATTCTCCCCTCCTCACCCCACAGGCTTGATGCCTTATAGTTTTCAAATCCTGTACTGCATTAGTGCATAACTCTGAACTCCATATAAAGTGTTAGCTAACTGTCTCCACATTTTAGTCAGACAAAACAATCCCTCTAGGTCTGAGATCCAAGGACACCCTACTGCCTCAGGCCCCGGAAAGTATAAACAAAAGTGAATTGGGGGAGGGGAGCAAACTGGGGGCATATGACTTCACTGCCTGAGGCTGTAATTGGAGGAATAACCCCTGACATGTAAATGGACCAAACTTATATCTGTCTGAAAAACGCGTGACCATCGTCCATCTTGGGTGTAGCCTCTGAGGCTTCTGACTGCCCAAGGTGTACCTTTTGAAGGCCTTTAATAAATACCTACGTTTATTCTCTTAACCCTGTCTAGCCTCTGTTCCAGGTAGCCACTCTAAGGCATCAGGCTGGGTGCCATTATTAATGAGGCCCCAGAGGTAGCAGCCCAGACTAGGAAAGGCAAACAAGACTGAATACACATTCCAAATGAAACTCGTTGCCTCTGCTGTTATCATGCCATAAACGCAGTAAATCAGCAAAGCTGTTTTGATTCCTCTCCTGATCGTAAAGAGAGCATCATGATGGGCAAATACCTCCCCCTATGCAGAAATATGTACAGGGCACAACATGCACGTGAATACACCGAGAAACACGACGATCAGGAAAATTGCTATACCCCAATACACAAATGCTTTAGAACAAAACTGCAATTCCGACCTCTCTCGAGCCGCACGTTGGGCGCCAAAAGATGTGCCGGTTTAAAAGTAAACCGGCAGGAGAAATGAATCCCATTCAACTACCTCCAGAGAGATTACAGGTCGGAGTTACAATTTACTAGAGATTACAAAAAATACAATGATACAGAGAAAACTGGTTTTAACCCACAAAGTCGGAGTATAAATTGGCACACTCTTTGTAAGGTGAGGGGCACAGTACTGTTGAAATTCTGGTCTTCCTCCGGATCCATCAAATGGTGGTGCACCAAGTCCCCAAACCCAAAGATTATATATATATATGCTCCGGTTCAGGTGAGAATGCTCAGTACCTCCACCAGGACAGGGAGTTTCACAGTGGAGGAATGTAATACTGTGAGTCATGGGATATTCTGGGAGTCTTTGATGGTCTAAGTCCTTGCAGCTGCCTATTATCCTAGTGCCATGGAGTCCATTATGGCCCGTTAGCAAAGATGACACCACCCCTCCCCCACCACGGGGTGGGTGGGAATGTGCTGGTGCTTCCCCAGAGGAGAGTTATCAGGACTGAGTCATTTGCGTGAAGAAAAAAAACACTACCTTGCCTCTGAAGGTTTGCCTCTTCTCCCTTATCTCATTTAACACCCATCTTGTAGCCTGAGGTGTTGGGTGTACAGGAGGCAGCTACGGCAAGTGATCCATCATCAGCAGTTCATCAGGAATGACACAGAGGCTGGTACAATACAGTTTGCTTACATGCACATAGTGCTAAACTGGCACCCTACTCCTGTTACCAGGACACCCAGGTCCAACAGGTGGTGGATGCTTCCAACACAGTGCACCATGGTGAAACCACCCTTGGAAAGCATGCGTGTAGCCTCACACGCAGCATCTTCTACAGTTTTAGCAGAAGCCTACACGGCCTTTCTGTACGTTGGCGTACCACTGCCAAAGAGCTAAGACTTTGCTTCCTACAAGACCCAGAGAGACTGCTAAGCGCTTCCAGCTTCACACAAACAGGCCAATCACTATCTATCTATCTATCTATCTATCTCTGAAATGCTGTTATCTGGCTGAAACATTCCACATACTTGCAATTCCAGGGAGACACCTTCTGAACTTGCAGAACTACTTCCCCTCAGTAAGATGCGCAAGACGGAGGTGATATCCCCATGACAAATCTTTATTGTGCAACTGCTGCTCAAAGCTTTTATTACCTTCCACAGACACAAGGCAAAAAAAAAAACAAAACATTACACATCAAAAGCCGCTAGATTGATGGGCAACAGACGAAATCCATTCAGTGGTGATTTGTACGCGTGCAGCAACTCCTGCGGTGCCAAAATCTTAGCCAGGTGGCCAGCCCACCTGATGGCCACCCAGAACGGGTAGATGTATGCGACAGACAGACTGCCCACCCTCGGGCCCTTCATCCACAACCATCCGGAATCCATTGGTCAGGCCCAGGTGAGCAACACACATCTCGCCAACAACCATTACATGCCCAAGAAGCTGGAGAAGGAAGTACAAACCCATAAATAAGTAAAATAAACAGAAAAAGGAACACATAAAGAGGGCAGAGGGCAGGAAGGGAAGGAACGAGAGCAGAGAACCACCCAGAGAAAGCAGCTAGCCAATTCCTAGCAATTCAACCATTGCATGCCAAATTAACGGCACTCCGACCGCCGGCAACTGAAGCGTTCCAAGCAAAGTTACCAAGACCAATTATGCACGCCATAGGGGCAAAAGAGAGCTAGGCAATTTTTCCCAAGCTAAACAGCAAAGGACTACAAAACAGCCACACGAGCTGACTTTGTCTCCGGGTTAAAGCCCCCGTTGTCTCTTCAGGAAACATAACCAATCCTGGTGGAAAATAAACTTTAGGCTGCCTTTTGCGTGGGTTTACAAAGTCTTTGAACGTGGCTTTCATAGCTAAAAGCAAAACGCCCAGCACCGCTCCACCAGCTTTGCCCTTCCTTGCCCCTGGCCTGCCAAAAACCCCAAGTGCTCTTCTGCATGTTAGAAGTTCTACTACTCTTACTCTAAACCACGACAATAGGCACCACACTGCGCTCCAAAACAACACTGCATTTTGCACCAGAACTACATACCCAGGGACCAGCACTGCTTGATAGCACTGCTTTTAGTCAAAAAGCTCAACTCCATTACAAGCTAGAGGCAAAAACATGATAGCGCCAGAAAACCCAAAGTAGCCTACTGTGCCCTATCAAGGGGGAAAGGGGGCAATGGGAAAGAGTCTAGTAAACGAGGAACTATCTACAGGTACAGTTTAGCATACAGAAAGCTCCCACCGTACTTACAGATTCACCAGAACCTCCTGCTTCAGACAACTCGATAATTGGCTCCTTAGGCATGACTTAGGAAAAATGTCCTGTCTAGGGGCAAAAGATCATGGAACGTACGGCACTGGAGGAAGATTAAACAGTTAAAACATAACCAGCTTTAGAGAAAGGTAAGAGCTTATGCAAACCCATCTGCCCCGCTGAACTCCTACAGAAGCAGATTACCAGATTACCCCAAACACAAGCCAGAACATTGATTTTTCTTGCATGATTATAATGCTTTCTATACCCAAAACACGACATCTTTACAGAGCCCCCTCCAGAAGTGGGATTTGTCATGCAAGACAATGGGGGAAGGAGACAGACCACTACTTGCAATGAACAACCTCCGGCATGTTTTAGTTCGGGCTGATTGTTTCCTAAGCAGTTTTTCTATTGGATGTGGTCCATGCAGAGACTGGAGACAAATGGCTTAACTGAATCATCAAAGAGTTTAGTGAAGTGGAAGAGCAGCGGCCATTCGTTTCCCACAGGACAGGGAGCTCAAGTATGGAACACACGCATAATGACAGGAAGCCTGCAAGTGCATAGGACGAGTCTGTCTTCTATTACTGCATGCAAGCTCTGCCTTTAAAAGCAGAAGGCATCCCTAACTGTTAACTTTCAGCATCTTAATAACTAAGTCATAGGGGATATTACCTTAAAGTTAACATCGCATAGGCAACGGCTGTTATTGGTTTCCCCCCGGGCTAAGCAGCTCACTCTAGTTTCCAGCACCAACACGCGTGACCCTTGCAAGCATGCTGTTATCACGGTCTTACTTCCCCACAGAAACAAGTTCTGGAAAGCCGTTGCAGCCTGCAGGATGACCACTCTGTAGTTTGGTTTGGTTTGGTTTTGTTTTTAACTAGAGAAAGCCGTAATTCCTTGCCCTAATAATCCAGTTTGCGGGTTCAGAACCAAAGCCTAGCACAGCGAAGCTGCGAAACCTCTTCGATGCTGTTAGGAGACACATTGAGGCCAAGTTACCGTCAGAGGTCCTTCTCTACGCGCGCACACGACACGGTGGGGGTGGAATATGCGAGGCGAGACCGGACAACACCAGCAACCCAGTACGCCCGCGGCAGCCGGAGGGGTGGGGGTGCGGCTCAGAACAAGCTTAGGGGATGGTGCAGTAGAGAGCGCCACAACCCAGAGAGGCCCCGTCCGTCCCCCGTCCCTGCACCCAGCCGCAGCAGCACCCTGCCGCGCGCCCGGGCACCGCGCGCCGGGTCCTCGGCTCAGATGCCCGCAAGCGCGGGAGGAGGGGGAGAGGGGGGAAAGGGAAGAGGAACCGCGCACAGAGCAAGGGTGCGGCTACCTCCTCGTCCTCGGCGCTGACGGCACCAGAGAAACGCCTTACCGATAATCTTTCCGAAGACAGTAGTGGCGCCACCAGGGCCAGAGACCAGCGCCCCCACACTCTCGCCAGTCAAGGACAACGCCCGTGTCCGCCCCGACCACTTCCTCCACTAAGCCGGGCCCTCCGCGGCGCCCATTGGGCCGACGGATCGTGGCCCGCGTCTCGATTTGCTGTCTCGCCTGTCGTTTTCGCTTTTCCCCGCCCCCGTGGCGGGTCCGCCCTCGTCGACCTGGTGCCCGCGGGGCGCGGAGGGATCTGCCCCGTGTAGTGCTGCGACCCCGAGGGCGGGCTACGAGGTCGCAGAAGAGGCTGTAGTAGCTACAAGTACTGTTTCTTGTTTTTTGTTACCGCATCGAGTCCACCCCAAAGGTGCCCGTGCCTTTTTGCTGCTGCTCCCTCCAGTCCAACGACTGCTTTGGCCAGGGCAGGCCTGCCTTTAACTTCTCAGGACATTTTGAAAAAACAACCGAAGTTGCTCTACATTGTTTGCTGAAAGCCCCACTTCCATTGCAGACATTTCTAAGCTGCACGTCTCCTGGAAGCAAATAAAATGCAAAGCGTGCGTTCGGCACTGCTGGCTTGAGGGCTCAGGAGAGTAGGATTTGCGTTAAGCTGGATAGGAGGCTTTTAGAAAAGTAGGCAGTGCCCTCAAAGCTGCCCAAGGGTGGTCTGTGGTGCCCTGCACCCCTGGGGACAGTGAGCACCTTGAATGGTCCACACAACTGTCTTGTAACATATATGAACCCTGCTTTCCTCTATAACAGGCTAAGGATATCCTTGGCCGCCTTTGAGGCAAGAGCACATTGTCCTATTTTGCAAAGCTGCTTTCCAGCCAATCGGCCTCCAGCATGTACTGGTGCATGGGGTTGTGCCTCCCCAGGTGCAGGACTTGTGTATCCACAGGTTCCTCGGGTGGTCTCAAAAGAGACCATCGTTTCCTATGATGGAAGGGACTTTGTTCCCCAAGTCCCTGCCTTGAGGTTCAGGGTCTCAAGAGGTCTGGTAACCGTGCCAGTGAAAACAGAGGAAAATGAATCGCCAAGTACCACAGCCTTCTCCATGTTGCTGGCCACTAGACCTCCTGGCTTTTTTATCAGCGGGGGGACGGGCACGTGGGTTGCATACGCTTTCTTTAGTCTTATTTTCTGACCAACGCACCCATGGAAGCCCATCGTATGATTCTTTACATCCCCTGCCAAATTCAGCTGCAGCTTTGCCTTAGTTTTTCTGATGCCATCCCTACAGACCTGGGCGGCATCTTTAGATTCTTCCCAGAATACGTGTCCCTGCTTCCACTACCTATGCATTTCCACTTTGTGCTTCAGCTCGAGCAGAAGAGAAGGCCGTTAGCCACGCTCATCTCCTGCCTAACTTGCCTGATTTCTAATGTCGACCTCATCCTCTTAATCAGGTGGCCTATAGTAGATACCAACCACAAGGTTTCCTTTGTTAGCTTGTGTGGGATGATGACCATGGAGCCAGGAAAGCGTTAAAGCCTAAACCGTGTACCCTCCACGTTATCTTTACTGATGGACATCCACATAGCTGAGGTCAAAAAAGGACAATATGGCCGAAGGAAGAGTTCATGGGCAGCTAGGATAGCCCTCTTTTGGCTCTGATGAACGGCATGAAATGGAAAGAAGTCTTAAGAGCGGAACTTTGAAGGACACCAAGGCCAAAAATGTAACCTTTGCCTGATTAAGGGTCATTTAAGTATTAAAACGCACACTCGTGCATATGCTAATAAGCTTACTGAAGTACATGTGACCACATAGATGATCTATCACTCAGCTCTCCGCTTAGATCACGCTATATGTAATGTAAGGAGGAGAAGATTGGGCTGTATATAAGGAGGCTAGAAATTTCAGCTAGGTAGCAGGAATTCCCAAAAGATGTCGGGGACAGTTGCCAGTCTCTTCTCTTCTCTTCTCCTCCTCCCAAGTGGGGCCGCCCTCTTGGGAAGCTTCTGCATGCCATTGCTATTATTAGTATTGCATGGGTTAGCACAATGTTATTAGAGGTCTATCACAGCTAGTGCATTTCTCAATGGCAGTTCCAAATCTCCATTTCTGTAACTTCAGAAAACCACTCTGTTCCTGAATCTGTGCTCGCAAAGGTTCTTAGAGAACGCAACCAGACTTACAGTGCTGAATTGGTTGTAATCGGAAATTAAGCCTAACCTCACCCAGTCCCTCTGATCTCTCAGGACCAGCTGGAACGCAAGGGGCTTTATTTTCTGCACTCTTTCTTACTCCTAACGCAACAGCTTGGCCTCTAATTTTCACCCATAAGCTCTCAACCTGTTCATCACTGTCTTTCAAAGACAGCTCTGTACAGGAAATCCCTCTCATTTTTGGTTTACATAGAGGGCCACCTCCGCCCCTCCTTCCTTCTGACCAGTTTATAGCCATTGATTGCAGAGCTCCAGTCATTTGAGTTGTCCCAGCACATTTCTACTATGGTGATTACATTGTTAGCTTTCCGGCTGCACAGTGGTTTCCAGCTCCTCTTTCTCATGCATACTGCGTGCATTGGTACAGAGGCACTTCCGCTGGGCTGTTGACTGCGTCACTTTTTTGGACAAGGATCAAGCCCCAATTCCTTTGCAGCATTTCTCAAGTATTCCCCTCTTGTTTCCCAACACATCACCAGCCCCTGGCTCTTCTCTGTTGCTCAAAACTCCATCGTCTTTCCCCGCCGAGTCACCTTTAAAGCCCTCCTTGTAAGTCTAACCGGCTTACTGGCAAAGACCATCTTGCCCCGCTTGGTCGCGTGAATCCCATCAGCTCCCAACAGACCTGGCTTCTTAAAGGTAGATCCATGATCATAGAAGCCAAAACCTTGAGTATGGCACCAGCTACGCAGCCCGGCATTCAGCTGTTCAGTCTGTCTCCTCCTTCCTGGACCCCTTCCTCAGACCGGACACCAATAGAGGCGACCATCACCTGTGCTCCCCATCCTTTTAGCATCGCTCCTACAGACATAATAGACTCCTGGGGGGGTTCTAAGTTGCCTTATCTGACGCTACAGAGAAGAGTAGGAGAGGTGATAATCTGTAGGGTTCACCAGCCTCAGCAGCCTCTCAGTGCCACCATGAATGCGAGCTCCTGGTAGGCAGCAGAGCTCTCTAGAGAAATCGTCTGGGTGGGAAATGGGTGTCTCGGTGTTTCTCGGGAGGAAATCTCCAGTTACTAATACCTTTATGTGCTTCTCTGGTCGCACTGGTTCTAACGTGGGCAGGTGGTTAGGTCAGCTTTGCATGGTTGCCTTTGTCCTGGCTCCTGTCCATTACTCATGTGCTCTTCAGTCTCCAAACCAGGAGCATACTGTCTGTTATGTAGGGGCACTTCAGGAGATGGGGGAGGGTTCTTCCTTCTACCCTGAGCACAGAAATGCATCCGGTCTCCTTCATCTCAGGAGTCACTTGTGTCAGTCACCCCGAGGTTACATTCTGGCTTACCTTCCTTTTGTGCACTCTGAAGGCAGGCCGTCGCTCAGCCTGGGACAGCGTACAATACCTGGCATTGAACTCTCTGTCCGTGTACCTGGATTCCCTGCTTCCTGTCAATCTCCTCCTTTAAAACTTACTCGTCCAAGGAGATCTTTCTGCTGGGCACACTTGCAGCTATGACATCCACCGCTGCCTTCGGGTTCTAAGGGGGACTTCTAGGGACTGGACCTCTTGCCCTGCCCTTTGTTCATTGACCCTGTCCATCACTCCCGCACAGGGCTGCTGATTAGTCTCTGCCTCTCCCTCCTCGCACCCTCACCGTGGCAGCAGCTCTCTGGCCACAGAGAGCAACACATAACTTTCCCAGGCCTTTCTGAGGAAGGCTGTGAGAAGATCAGAGAAAAGAATGAGGAACAATTCTTATCTTCACTTGCTGCACCTGTTGTTGTGAACATGTGGAATGTGTTATGGAGATTTGTTTACCAAAGGGTGGTTTCTTAATTAGCCAATGGTGATGGTGTTTGGATTGGAGGACCAATTAGGTCCAGGTGTATCGTAACTGTCTATAAAAGCAACGGGTTTCCTAATAATTATATATATATAAAATAAAGAGATTGATCAGCCTTCTGTGAATCATGGAGTCAATGCTAATTATTACCAGTTCGGGGACGCCCTGCCGCGACACCTCGCTTTTAGTTTAAAGCCCTCCAAATGAGGTCAGCTGTCCTACTGGCAAAAATACCTTTACTCCGCTTAGTGAGGTGGAGCTCCGCTCTCCCAAGCAGTTGCTGATCCAAAAACAGGGCCCCATGCTCATCGAACCCAGAACGCTGTTGCAAGCACCAGCTCCGCAGCCAATTCAGTGCCCTTATCCTACAACACCTGGACGGCATCAAAAGCATTGCTGGTGGGTTGACCTTGGCTGGATGCCAGGTGCCCACAGAGCCACTCTATCACTCCCCCTTCTCAGCTTGACACAGAGAGAAAATAAGATGGAAAACAACTCACAGGGTGAGATAAGGCAGTTTACTAAAGGAAAAGAGAAAGTTTTCGCACAAAAAAGCAAACAGGAAAACCAAATAATTATATCCTCTAGTTCCCATCAGCAAGCACTGTCCGACCACTTTCCAAGAAGCAGGGCTTCAGCACGCGTAAGGGTTGCTCCGAAAGGCAAACGTTGTAAATAACGAATGTGCCCCCTTCCCCCTCCTTAACTTAGCTTTTATTTCTGAGCTGAAGTCATATGGTACAGCATAGCCCTCTGGCCAGTTTGGGTCACCTGGTCTAGTGGTGTCTCCTCCCAGGATCTTGCCCACCCCCAGCCTACTGATGAGGGACAGAATGTTGGAGAGACAGCGCTGATGCTGTGCCAACACTGCCCAGCAGTACCCAAAACACTGGCGTGTTATCAACACCTTTCTAGTGACCAATGCAAAGCATGGCACTGATGGCCGCTATGCGGAAAACTAACTCCATCTCAGCCACACCCAATACAATCTCCACCCCTTACTTCACACCATTTGCATCGTACTCAGATGTCACAGAATTATAGATATATATATATATATATATATATATATATATATCTGTCTTCTAATTATTCCGTTGTATTTATTTGTCATGACTGAAATCCC